TGATGTCTAAGGATGAAATGTATGAAGGAAGACGGCTTAAAGAAGATGATTTTGAGAAGACGCATTCGAATGACGGATCTTGAAGATATCTAAGACGTATCCAGACGGTATCTAAGAAGACGCATTCAGAAGACGTATCCAGACGGTATCTAAAAAGACGCATTCAGAAGACGTATTCAGACGATGTTTAAAAAGACGTAAATACGAAGACGAATCTAGACGTGTTTGTGAAATGTATGTATTCAGATATACTGTTAAAGATGAACGAACACTGAAAGAGCATTGAAGAAGAGATAAAGCCGTTATTTCTGAAGATGTTAAGATGATGAGAAAAGATGGTTGAAATAAACCATTTAAGACGACTTTTCCCTCAATAGTAACTAAAAATCTCTTTTTTTTTTTTTTTTTTATTTTATTTTTCAGATCCCTAGATGTAGACGGTGGTGCTACGAGAATGCGAGGCCGCATTCCATCAGGATGGACGAGCAGTTGTGGGATGGCATCATTCATTATAATCGGATGACGCGACAAGCTATGAGAATAAATCTTTTACTTTTCCGATGATAGAAGGCAGACGATTCCGCCATTAAGACGATGACGCGACTGAAAGATGTTTACATGAAAAAGACAGTCGATTCTCTTCATCTGTATATATTATCTATGTAAATTCATCTATTTCCTTCTACGTATGTAATTACTTTGTAGTTTGTTGCAACTATTCATGTTTAATTAAATATTCAAGTTTTACATAAATCGGACTAGTTTATTAGCCCCTAGACAGCCACATCGAAGTAAGTTTACAAACATCATATTCCTAGACAGTAAGTCAAGAGTCTACATATTTACTGGAAGAGAGTTAATGTACAAATTGAGAGGATGATTTTCGAATTATTAAGAAAATAAAAAATTGATGTCATTTTTAGAAAGTAATTTATTTCTAGATTTATGTGTTTTTGATTTAAATGCTAAAATCTAGCTGTTTCTGTTTTGTAAATTTACAAGAATCTAATTATATTAGTATAGGTTTTTCATTTAAATTAATAAATACTTGAAAAAGCAAGCACAAATTATTCTTTTAAGGGAGAAATTGTTTACGTTTTAATGCAAGAACAAGCAGTTCAACAATATATCTGCTCACGTATGTAAGTATGGAGCTGGTGTATCTCCCAAGCCTCTGTTTGGTTGAGGGCTTTATGGTGCTGGATATTAGAATCTGTAATGAACATACCAGGTTGTTCAATCAATAAGTTCGCGGAACGGAAATGAAGAAACCAATTTTTATTTGTAAAAATGACTTTATTTTTCAACGTAGTTTCCCTCAACTTCAATACACTTATTCCAATGGTCTTCTAATTTATGGATCCTATGACTGAGTGGTTTTTCGGCAGCTCTGCAAAATATCCCTCCACGGCAGCTATTACCTCTTCGTTTGAAAAAAATCGTTTCTACGGAGATATTGTTTGAGGTGTGGGAAAAGCCAGAAGTCAGAGGGAGCTAAATCTGGCGAATAGACTGGATGCTGCAACAATTCGTACTTCAATTCAGTTATTTTAGCAATGGTTTTTTGAGCTGTGTGCGCAAGTGCACTATCTTGGTGGAAAATGATTTTCTTCTTCTGTAATCTGGGTCTTCTTTCATGAATTTTTTCATCTAATTCATTCAAAAGGTTACAATAATAATCTGAATTAATTGTTTTGCCAGTTTGAAGGTAATCTGTAAACAAAATTCCTTTTGCATCTCAAAAAACTGATGCTAACACCTTCTTGGCTGATTTTTGCACACGAGCTCGCTTCGGCACCGAAGAGCCGGGTTCACACCACTCCTTTAGCCTCCCAAAAAACTGATTCAGGATCATGATCGATAGATCCAAGTCTGATCCATTGTGATAAATCGACGGATAAAGTCGCTTTTATTCTTCTTAAAACGCTCCAAATGTTGCTGGCAAAGTCACATCCGATTGTGTTTTTGCTCCATCGTTAGAGAATGCGGCACCCATTTTACAGAGAGTTTTTTGAAACCCAAATTAACACTCAAAATATTGCTCACTGTGCCCAATGAAATGCCTAAAGCCTCCATTAAATCTCTTTCAGTCAATCGACAGTCTTCCAATACCATATCTTGTATTTTTCCTATGATTTCCGGTGTTGATGCAGTTTTCGGACGTCCGTCTTGCGGATCTTCTTGAAAGCTGGTGCGACCACTTTTGAATAAACTAGCCCACTTGCAAACCATTGTTTTTGAAGGAGCAGATTCACCCAACACATTCACCATTTCGGTATGAATTTACATTGCCTTAACCCTTCTTTACAAAGAATTTGATAACTGCACGTTGCTCAGTTTTATCCATACCTGAAAAAAGGCAACAACACGTTAGATAGAAAGGGCGGTTAAACAAATGAATAAATTAACAGATCGAAATGAAACTTTTGACGTGTTCCTAAGAAAGAACAAATATGAAAATGGCGTCGAAGTTTTAGGTCTAATATTGATGAATAGATGGCGCTCCACAAACTTATTGAACAACCTTGTATCCTGAGCATTAACAAGGATTAGATGTCTGTAAGTATATGGCATTGAGGCACTCAAAATACTATTTAGCTGAAAGTCCTCTCAGGAGGTTTTGATGATAGGGGTGGGAGATCCTATAGGTCTGTTTTCTGGGACAGAATTGTGTGAATTTCAGTGCCAGCTGTAAAGGGCTGAAGACATGTGACAACAGCTGATGCATCCCTGCACTTCTAACCATGGTAAAATTAGTGGACTTAATCTCATGTGACAAGTGATTTACGTCACAATAATAGGTTAAGTGAAGTTTTCCATATATATGCACATTATAATATATGTGCACACACATTCCATATACGTGCACAGATTATAAGAGAACAATGATTGCATGATTCAATTCCTCAAATTTAGAACCAGATACATTGCCTCTTCTGAAAAGTTATGGAAAAACATTTTGTTAAATATGCTTGTTGATGACTGCGCATGTGTAGGAAGTTGCTGAATTGGAACTAGTTAATCAGTATGATGCACTTAGACTTTTTTTTAATAACGTTTGGTAAATTTCTGTAGATTGCTCCCCTCCTTTTTTTAATTCCTCCTGCAACATTGTGAACAATTGTTGGTGTTTTTGTCCAACTTTCCATTTGTATTCTAAGTCCTGCTTTTGAGACATGGAAAACGCAATTTGAATTTCGTCAATCGGCTCAGTAGAACAGCAGATATATAGAACTGTCCTTTTAAGGGAGGTGCAGTGTACATATGCTCAGCCTTTTTTTTTAGACTTATATTGCATGCAATATTGGCTGTGAAAGATCTTACTTTCCTTTCAGATGTCCGGGAATTAATGATAATATAAGACATCTAAATTTTCCTTGCCATCAATAAACTTTATTAAAATAATATAATTGTCATTATTAATAATAACTTCTTGCCAGCATGAGGGCAATTTGTATATCCCATTTTTGAAAAATGATGTAACTTTTGATGCGAAAAATTGAGCTGGTGCTTGTTTGATATCTATGTCATTTTTGAATTTTTTGCTCTTCAATAAATTTTGTAAGGACAAAAAACAAGTGATAGTCAGAGGGTGCTAAGTCCGGGGAAATATGGTGTATGTGACAGAATTTCCCAGCCAGTTCTGCAATTTGTTTGACGAGTCCCCAAAGCAGCATGTGGCCTGGCATGATCATGATACAGTTCGGTGTCCTTCCTGTTGAAAATCACCAGCCTCTTTTCTTGGACTGTCGTCTTTAAATTGTCTAATTGTTGACAGTAGTTCTCCAAATTGAGCTTTTTTTTCAGCCTTAAAAAGTTCATAATGTACTGGTCCTCGAATGTCCCACCATATACACAACATTCTCCTTATTCAGGATCAAATTTGGTTTAGAAGTAGGTGGGCTAGGTTTTCTGGGTGCCTTTTCCCTTACGATGTTTCCGTGGGTGATCCACTTTTCATTCCCAGTTATCCAGTTCAAGAAGGGCTTCATTTTGTTCGGAACAAGCAGAGATGTGCATACGACAACTCAATCATCCAATTCTTCTGACTTAATTCATGTAGCACCCATCTTGAATATTTCCACACTAATCCTATCTTCCAAATATGATTTGAAATGGTTTGCTGAGGTGAATTAAGCCTTTCTGTGATCTCCGATGTTGTCACAAAGGGATCTATCTCCAGCATGGTGGTAACAACACCGTCGCCGATCAAAGATGATCGTCCAGAACGTCGCTTATTAAAAAGTTCGAAATCACCTGTTTCAAATTTTTTTAACCATCTTATGCATGCCTTATCAGAAACTGTACCTTCACCAAACACTTTCAATAAATTTCTACATGCTTCTGTAGGATTTCTTACTTGTTGAAATTCGTATAAAATACAGCAGTGTAAATGAACTTTATCAGTGGCCATGGGTACATTATTGCTTCACACTTAAGACTCACGTGAATCAACTTTGTTTTAGTCAACTTTCTACTTCAGTGTGTATACATTAAGCGATAAAAATAGAGAGTGAACATACGGCAAATAAAAATGTGCTTATGTGTCGAAAATTGTTGTCATAAAACGGACATAACTTTTCAGTAGACCGAATATATTGCACATTATAAATATAATTTACTAAGTATGTCAGATTAGAAGGGAAACATGCATTAGGCAGCAAAGCAACGTTAGTTTAGCTTAGATTATGAATAAAACTCTACTGATTTTGAGAAGTGTGATTAAAACATACAGTCTCCTTCAGGAACCGAGAAAACGGGTAATCCAGCCCTTCTGAGGAGAACCCTATGATTGCTCACAAAACTGATACAGTTTCATTCAGAATCTAAACTGACAGTTCCCCTTATAATTTAAACTAACTGGTTAGTTAAATTTAATAATTTTTAAAAGACCTTCCGATGCTTTTTTTTTTTATAAGTCTCCTTTTAGTTAATCATATGTATTGACTTGATTTGATTAAGTATATTGCCTTATAAGAACATTTTGTTTATTTTATTAGTGCTCAGATGGTAACTTATATGCAAGAAATTGACAAATGTAAGAATCAAGTTCAAGATATTCAAGTGCCTCTTGAAGTATTTGAGTAAGTGATGTTTATTTCATTTTCAAGAAATCAGTGTCAGTTGTTATGTATCTTTCCATAAAGTAAAAGGCAAAGACAAAAGTTCATTAAGAATTAAATATGAACACATATGGTGATACATTCTATATATTGAATGTACAGATATGCTATAGGGGTAAAGATATATTTATGGGTGCCTTTTGGCGATTTTTGGTGGTACATAGACACTGAGTTTGCAATTCCTTGACTTGCAGTTTTGCTTTATGTAGCTACACAGAGCCAAGAACAACTCATAGAATTGCAGATTCAGTGCCCATGTACACACCTATTTTCAATTGTAAATACATCAGAGAATTGTACAAACTTGGCATTGTGCACTCCCTTGACTTTGTCCATGTACACATCGATCTATTTTCACATAAAAAGTCAAAAGAGTAGCCAGTTCTACACTAGGACCTAACAAAAAATATATAATCTCAATAAACTACATTTTAAATCAAACAACGAAATAACATAGAAAAGGAAATTCATCTTAGCACTATACAAAGAAAATATCTACTTACTTTATTTAGAAATTTCCGTGTCTTCAGTCAAACAAATTCCTTAACAGCATCCCAAAAGTTCCTAAAATTATCTGAACTAGAATCTGTATACTGGCATCACAACATAAATTCACAAAAATAAGAGTAAAAAATATCCTCCATAATACCGGTATCTTCCGATGTTCGACCGTACGCATTTCCTTCCTACAAACAGGACACTTCATTTGCACACCAGTCACCAATGTTCTTTCCCTTTTTGTTCCAAATTGTACAGAAACTTCAAATTAATCGTACCACATTCAGCCATTTTACCATATAAACCACAAAATAACCACCGTACTTCCTAACCAATATCCAGCACACAAACAAGCCCTTAATCTTTTTCCATCATTCAAATTCACCACAATCACGCAACCAATTATGTTATAATAGGGTTTCCATAACATTCAATTACTCAGGTTACCATAAATGAAACAACAACTTAGCCATAATCCAAAAAGCACCCTTAAAATATACTACAACTGTTATGGGGTTTTAACGAAAGTCTCCCTCCATCGCAAACATTAACTGTGCAAACAATTCGCATTGGTTTGTTTAATCATAATTTGTCAAACAGTTTTTGTCATTTAAAAGAAACAAGCTTGCTTTAGAACACTCTGTTGTGAATTTCAAATCTTGACAAGGTGTCTGAAATGGAACTATCATGCTATCATATTAGAACATCATCATTTACTTCCAGTTCTGTTGTAGAAGCCAACTGCAGAATGTCACCAAATCATGTGTATAGCTTTAGGTACTAATATTGTATCATATGACACTGTGAAGGTTTGGTACTGAAAGTTCAAAAACAAGGTCTATAACATTAAAGAAGCAGAGCGCTTTGTCTGGTTTATTGACGTTAATGAGGCCAGCCTGTGAGAACTTGTGGAAGAAGATCAGTATGCAACCGCTAGAGAGCTTGCTAAGAAGTTAGATGTTAGTGCCATGTCCATTAGTCATGCTTTGTGTCACATAAACTTGATGTACTAGTTAAATCACCGGGTGCCACATGAGCTGACTTGAGCAGATAAGGACAGACGTGTTCAGGCATATACTAATCTGCTTGAATATCAATGCAAGGAGAGAATTCTGGACCGGGTCGTCATTTGTGATGAAGAGTGGATTTACTTCAATAACACAGGCAGAAAGGGGGATTAGTCTGCACCCAATGAGTCCATCGGTAGTGTTGCAAAGTCGAACCTGACTAATAAAAAGATTATGCTTTTTATCTGGTGGGATTGCCATGGAAAAAGGTAACAGTAAGGTGTATAGCAAGATGCTAGTCCGTGTTGACGCTGCTGTCATCACTAGTGTTTGCTCAACTAAGGTTGCCAAATATTGGAATAATTATTATGAGATGTTATTTTATTTATATTTATTATAGTATTATAACATGTAACTTTTATACACTGCCTGATCCATCAAGAGGCTCTTGCAGGAGAGAAGGAAAAAGTTGAAGGTTTTATTAAAAAGACCAATGTTTGAAACCTTAGAGAGGAAAATGTTTTTGACTGTCAACAATTTTATTGAAAAAAAATAATAATAATTGTAACAGTTTAGTTTCAAATTTCTTACAGATCACTTAAAAACCCTATAGACATAGTTTTGCAAATACTTAACATTCAATTTTGATTTCAAAAAGTTATCTTGAATTCAAAAGCCACTTTTAATTGACATCAGTGCGATTAATCACCTGCCATCTAAAGCCCAAGAGGAATTTACAAAGCTCTTGACTAGAAGTGTTAAATATTGTACCAAGATGTAATTTGTATGCAGCAAAAAACAAGCAAATCTGTCTCATTAAAACATGATTATTTAATTTAATTTATACACAAACCAATTCCAAAAGCTACTTCTTTTCATGTGTCTATTGTTTCCAAAGGAGTGATATATTTATGGCAAAATATTTATATTTTTATTTATATTTAATAACCAGGAGTGATAAAAAGGGTACAGTGAAAAACGTTTTAAGAAACATTGGTTTAAAAGATTTTATGTCTCAGTACACCATAGACAGGCCTGGCACTATTCATTTTGCCTCTTGGTGCAGTCTCTGTATGTCCTAAATTCTGCTGCCCAGTGCCTGTCTTAATTGTGAAATAAATTCTGAAAATTTGACTATACCGTGGCGCGCAATGAATTGGAAGTTGATCTGTCAGCACTATCCTTATCTTCAAGGCAGATGTTTTTATTTTATTTGGCTTATAATTCCTTACTAAATGTAGTATTTCATCTCGATGTACTCCGTCTTCGATATGATTTAAATCAAATTCCTCATCATTATAATTCGCTTCCGATAGCGAAGAAAGTGACACAGAAGTTATTGAAAACGAAAAAATTTCGATTCACAAATTAGTCGGTATTCTCGACACAGCAATTATAGGGCTTGGATAGCGGAACTTTGTAACTGAACAAGAAATTATGTCTGTTTATAGAATTAAAGAGAAAGTATTATCACATAAAAAACGAAGCAACTTAAACAACTTACATTGAAAGAAATGTTTAATTAAAGTAAACAAATAAATATTAAGCTTTTTTTTTGTGTGTGTAAATTTTAAAACCTTTTATATCATAATTGTTCTTTATTTCATAAATTACTGTTTCATATTTTTAATTTTATAATTTCTGCATTCCATCTTACCAGATTTAAACCGGTGATCTATAATCCGAAAAAATCGATAATCCGGAATCGCCGAAGTCCCGACAAGTCCGGATTAACGACTTTTGACTGTATATGTTAAAATTAGCATTTAATAACCGTTTTTTCTTTATTTTATATGAAAATATATTTAAAAAATTGCTTATTTTGTAAAATAATTTTCAGAAGCACTATTCAAATTATTCCAAAGTTTTAATTGTTAAAATTCATCGGTAGAACTTAAAATTTGTAAAACAGCACAGTAAAGACTACTTACAGTAAGTAACAAAATTTAAAATGAAGACTGAGTGTGGTAAATCTCGAAGCACAGAGAAGTATCACTTTCTAACTCTTTAGGAAATGAGATGTGAGAAACGTTCTTAAGGGTTGCATATATGGGATGCCCGTTAGGAAAAGGTTAATAGTGTAGATATTTAAACATTAAAAAAAATTAAGAGATGAAGCATGAGACTAGTGAAAACATTGTTTATTGAAGTAAATAAACATACAAAATATTCTAAAGAGAAGAAATTAATGTAAATTAACTAAAATATCCGGAAAAGTTTCAGTTTAAAAGATGCAGAAATATTTTACTGTGTATTATTGCTACAAAGGATGTTTTGTTTGATTTAATGTATAATTATTGTAATTAATGTTGTAGAATCATTGTCATAAGTTATATATGCTATTATGTGTTATTTTTAAACTCTAAAATTTTCTTAGATTGGGATTTTAATAATATTTTTTGATGAATTATTTTTTTAATAAAAAGATATTGGTAGAAGTAATGTAAATATATTGTAATTAATTATTTACAACTAATTGTTCACCCTCAGAAGTTAGTTATCTTTATATTTTAAGGTGAGTTATTGTCTTTCCTTAATCCTTAGAGGACACAAAGAAAACTCCCTCGGGAAACAACACAAAATCGTAAAAATTAACATAAAACATTATTCTTTACAACTAATGAGATTCGAAGTAATACAAAACAACTTAGCACCTCCGGTGCTTCAAAAGCTTATCGGAACTTTAGACTCCATTAACTGTGTTACACTTCCAGCAATTCTAAATGAAACTACGACACTGATTCAGACAGCAAAGCATAGCTAACTTTCACTGCTTTCTAAACATGCAATGTTATCAGCGCCTCTGTCTTTCTAGGCAAGCAGCAGCGGTGACATTAGCCATGCTTCTGTTACAAATCATGCTATTATGATTTTACTTCTCATTTTAACTTATGCCATTTGACATCAAATCTGCATAAACCTCAGGACTGAACAAATACTTGATGAAATGAGACATAAGGAATCAATGTAAAACTCAAATAAAATGTCTTTATCTTCTTTAAAATATGTAGGATTATTATAAAATATAACTGTTTCAACAGATTTTATAACTTCGTTAAGATTGTAAGGAAAGTTAATTGCCAATTACTTGATAAATTTTACAAATTTGATTTTATTATTATTTCAAATATTAGATTAAGTTTAATAATGATGCATTCTATCTACAGGCATGTTTTATTCTTAGAATGGTATTACAAGAGTAAAGTTCGGGAGTAGATAATTGCTTTAACTTATTCATTTCTCATTTGCTGATAGATCCTTAATTTTTTCATTGATTGTCCTTAACTTCTGTGTGCAGAAATGTGTACAAACCCTGAACATGTGTCTTTATTATTATTATCTTCTAAATAATAACAGTAGGTGTAACAAAATGAGCAATTTAAAAGCAATATGTATTTGGTGATGCAGTAAAGTCCTAAAATCTGCAAGCATCTGAAATCTGTGCAACCTCTCAGAATAATTAAATATATAAAATAATTTAATAAGATGGCCATATGTGATAATGAAAAACTTCTAAATGTGAGGTGCAACTTATGACCAGATTTTTTGATGTATTGAAACAGTGTGTGGTAAAACAAATATGCATGTGAATGGCTAAAGAATTATTTTGTAAAATATGAAAAATAAAATTTTATGTCGGAGTTTTATAGTACCTTTTAATTCCTTCATTGCAGTTATCCATTATAAAGTTAGTTTAACTCAGTTTGGAGACCTGTTGAAATTGCTTTACTGCACAGTTAAAAAATCTCCTGGTTTTTCGTATTTCAGAGTTTGCAGCCGTGAGAGTTCAAATCGTAGTTGAATGGACTGGCAGCAGAGAACTTTTTCATGGTTTTCCCTACATCAATAAGTTTCCTTTAGAGAGTTCCCTATCATTTTTCTCTTTGGCAGATGGCTCTCGGGTGCTTTGCAGTAATCTTAATCTGTTCTCAATATGAGCTCTTAATACCAAAAGTAAATAAATTGAACAGCTGTCAGAAAATAAATGAATGAACCTTTGAATCCATATTCACTGTGTGAACTTTTTTCTTGCAACATAATCTTTTATTCAATATGATTTTGGTACTTTAATAGTAATAAAACACAATTTTGTGCTTTTCTGAACTAATGATAGTATTTTGTCTTGAAAGCTTAGATTCTTTTTTAAAAAATTATCAGCACTTTGATAAAATTGCAGTTGGAAATTAGGAGAAGAATTACTGAATTGATGTCTTGTCTTCTCTGCTCATTTGCCCTTCCTGCCTTTTAATGCATTGCATACTACTCATGAAGTGAAATAAGCATTTCATGTACAATTATGACTGGCATCTTGTTACTCCAAAATTGTCTTTTCATTTCAGCAAAATAACTTTTTAGAGATGTCACTGTAGAACTGCTTTCTGATTATTGCTCACATCTTACAGTAACAAATATTGTGAAGGTATTCATGCAAGAGCACCTTGCACCCTGTGGATTGTTTTTTTATTTACTTCACATTTTGTTTGAATTTAAGGACATTTTGATTCACAAACTTGAAGATTTAAAAGCACTCTGTTGCCACTTGATAAAATGTAAGATACTTAATTTTTAAAAAAAAAGGGGGGGACGATTTAAAAGAAATCTTTTGTTACTGTGCAAATTGTAACATATTTATGTTTCAAATTTAATCAGAAAACTTGCTGATTTAACAGAAATGTGTTGCCACTACCTCAAGTAAAATTTTCTCATCTTACATGCACCAGAATGTTGACATTTTGTAAAGTGCAAGTTATTTAATTTTTCTGTCAAATTTAATCTGCCTGTTATTCATAAAACAAGCAATTTAAAAGCAATAAACACTGTTCTTCATCTGTATTATTATTAATTACTGGCCAGATAGATGGACCTATGAAATTACACTAACTAAGCTCATTAAAATCATTATAGGTGTTCTATAACTATTTTAGACGAGTAACTGCTGAAACAGCTAGTTGCTGAAAAATGGCATGATGGTAAAATTTAATGAGTAAAATACTGTGACTAGTTGTAGCGTAGTGAACTGAAGATTTTCAGAAATTAAAAAAAATGCCATCGTGGAAGTTTTTGTATATTGATAGGTTCTCCTTTTTTTAAAAAAATAAGTGAATAGATTTCATTTTTTAACTAGGCATAAATAAATCTCTTACTTATTCTGTATTCCTGTGTAAATATTATTATTTTGTAATTTTGGTTAAAATGCATAATATATTTTTAGGTACATTGATCAGGGTAGGAATCCACAGTTATATACGAAAGATTGTATGGAGAAAGCTCTGAATAAAAATGAAGTTGTCAAGGGAAAGATTGATTCTTATCGTGTAAGTAAACTTCTGTGTATCAAGTATATAAACCACTACATTTTACGAAGATAAAATTTTAGAGCATTGTTGGAATGGAAAAAATGGAAGATGCATATTGCATCTTCCATTTTTTTAGTTTTACATATCAAAGTTTCCTTTGTACTTAACAATTATGAGAGATTTTGTTTTAATCATTTTAGGGATTTGAAATATAATTTTTCTCTAAATCAAAATACTTTTATCTTCTAGCGCTTCAAAAGCTTGCTTTTAGTGGAGCTCAGTAAAGTGTTTCCCAACGAAATGGCACAGTATCGTGCCATTAGACGTGATGATCGCCCATCTTGAAAATTGAAACTGTTGATTGTACTCTCTTGCTATTATGTAAATATATGCTCTGTATCGAGCTATGTAATGAATTTGTATATTATTTAAAATAAATATTTGGGATTTTGTAAACATTTAAATTTGATTTAGTTTGTGTAATTCAATTTACTTAAAGTTTTGAAAAATTATCGGTATTTAAATAATATGTTGAAATATGTGGAATGTACTTGTCTTCCTTTCTCACAAACTTTTCACCCCTTAAATAAAAGATTATTATATTGAATTGGCCATTAAAATTGCAACAGCATGAAAAAAGTAACATAGTGATGTGAAATTTATATATATAATAGGTAGAACATTCAGATGATTTGCAGTGGAGTGCATATGCAAATAATGGGAACTTGTAATGCCACCTAGAATCAGTGTAAATGAGAAAGAATGGGGTTTTTCATATAGAAGTCATGTTCTTTGCTTGTTTCACTTAAAAGTGTAGAGTGTTTTGAATAAGAAAACAAAATGTACAGCAGTATATGTCCATTTGATTGTGGGAGAACAAAAATATACTAAAACTGGATTAACATACCATCAAACAGCACTGGTTGAAACCCAAGCACTTTTGCATATATGAAAACTGTAGGCCCAACAAAGATGGCCAGAACTACATGCAGTCTTGCAATGATCTTGATATATCAATGCCTGAAAATGCAGGTGCATGGAAGACAAATATGATGAACTTTTCATGTTAACCAATAATGAAAATTTTTTAATTCATAAGTATGTCATTTCTTTTAAATAAACAGAATTTAGATATGTGCAGAAGTATAATTTTTTATGTTCCTTATTTTTTAACTTATCAATTTTTATATTCAGCATATAATGCTCATAATGCATTTTGTGGCTGTAGTAAGAAGTTTCCAATTCTGCAAGATCATTCCACAGTCTTTCTGCTAGTGAAACATTAGAGTTATCTACATCTAAAAAATTTCTTAATTCTAATAACCTCTTTATTATCAAATATGTACTTCCTTATCACGTTGCTTGATCAATAATTGTTCCTCTTCCTGCTCACTTGCTAAGAATGGCATCAATTTTGGGAGTTCTTGCTGCTTACCTAAATTTACCAGCGAGATTTGTAACTAAATGAATGAGTTTAAATCACTAATGACAAATATCATATCCATCTTCCTCCTTTATATTTATTAGTATGTCAATAAAATAAGTACGTATTAATGTATATAGTCCATAAATAAAAATAACTCAGCTTGTCATTAATTTTTTTAATTCATTTTAATTTCATATTCAAACTGTCCAACAAAAACTGTAGTTGTAGTCGACCTGTTTTTAGCGAACTCCTTTTACCCCAAAATCTGCCCAATTCAGACTCCACAGCCCTGCAGTATGTTAGTATGCAATTTTATATCAATATCTTGGGAATTTTGAAAAATTCAACAGAACATTTGCCAAGTGCTATCATAAGTAAAAAAAGTGTTAAATGTTTGCCAAAACATTGATAGCAAAATTTAGAAAACTAAACTAAACATAAGAAACAAATACTGATGTTACTGTCAGATAACTAATTTATTGAATAATTTTGTATTCCATCATTACTCATCTCATAACTCATTTCATTCCATATTTTATTGCCTCTGATTCAATTTTGCAGCCTGCCCTAGGTGATGTGTTAAATTCTGAGTAAACTGTTTTATGAATATTAATTGGTATATGTAAAAATCAACTTGCATGTTATATGTTTTATAAATTTTAATGCTTAAATTACAGGTAGATATGAAAACATTAAAAATTCATATGCTTTATTGGGAGACTTTTTTGTGTTGACATAATTTTTTTTAATTAATTAGATCAAAAAGTAAAAATAATAACTATTGCTTTTAAATAGTTTATCAGTCACAGACAGATTAAATCTGAAATTTTACATTTTGCTGAATAGCAACACATTTGAAAGAATGTGTTTATGATGGACGATGTTTAAAGTAAATCTACACAAAATTGTGTTTCAAGATTAATAACACTTTTTGCTTAAATTAAAAAAAGAATACAAATTACAGATTATTTTCCTCTGCAATAGCAGAACTTGTTTTTGTTTTCATTGTTATTTTCAGTTATTTGAAATTCTTTCACCAATAAAGGTGAATTATGCATTTCATAAATACCTTGCTGAAATAAGTATTTCTGATTACCATTCTAATTTTTCAAAAAAGTAAACTATCCAGTGGCTGTGTAGCTAAAGCCACTAAAGTTCTGGTACTTCACCTTTAGTTCTTTTCCCAATTCTAAATGAGCTAGCTACATGATATTTTCCTCAAGTGTACCATGGATATAAACTAATTTCTCTTACACAGTCATCTAAGCAGGCATACTTCTTTACAGACAGCCCTAGTGTGTTATGCCAAAATTTTATTCAAAATAAGTAAAGCTTCACATCCTTATACAAGGGTTCAGCACAAATGTTAACATTGTGTTGCAAAATTCTGCATTTAAGTATCAGTCAGTATAAAACATCTCGTACACCTCTTGATTTAAAATTTTATTGTAAAATATGTTAGATTTATATTTACAAAACATGTACAAGAAAATTACAGAAGACTATATGTAAACATTCCTCATAACAAAACAAATTGCCTTTAAAAACATCAATAATTAAGCCATAGTCATGTAGTTGGTCTTGGTTTCAAAATTAATCTTCCATTCTGGAAAAATAAATAAGCTCTGAACAGTTAAAAAATTACATGAAAAAATATGAATATGACATACAAGTTTAGTATTTATGTAATATCACTTTTAATCTGCAAAATCACTTCTTTGGGGGAAAAAATGTACAGTTTTGAGAAAAACCTAATTATAGTTTCTAATTGGTACATATATTTTAATACATTGAATAGCTGTTAACTATTTCCCTTTTTTATCACATCTTCTAATCTCCTGGAAGATCTTCAAATCTCCAAGTTTTTAAATTTTAGCCTTCACCAAGGAAAATATTTCCATTAATAAATTAAATTTATTAAATCCATGAATTCCATTCTCCCACCCATACCGATTTTCAGCATAATTTTTCTGAGGAAATTTTTATGAAAATTCAACCAATGTTTACTCAGTTAATATTTACTTTGTTTTGTATTAATATGTAATACATTATTAAATTTATCCACATAATATGTACACTATGCAAAAAAAAAAGCGGACGATAACAGGAAATTTTTGGAGGTCTGGACTCCTAAATAATTTTTTTGTAGAGCAAATTAATAGAATTACATGCTTGATATGTAATTTTACGATTAGTGTTTGCAAGGAGTATAACACTAAGACACTATTTTCAAAGCTTGAGGGAGAGGATCAAAATCGAATCTCTTCGCCGTTCTTTCGTTGCTTTGTATTTACAAAGGCCATCTTCACAGTTAGGTAACTGTGTTGAAGTTAGTTGGGAATTGTAGCTTTATCTGCTAAAAGTGGCTGCCCATTTACTGATGGCGATTTTGCAAAGGACGGCATATTGTTGGCATTCAAGAAAGTATGCCCTGAAGCTATGCAGAAATTTAAAAATATGAGTCTCAGCAGAATGACAAGAATTGAAAATTTATCTGATGATGTTACTGAACAATTACAGAATATTCTGCCAAATTTAAGTACTTTTCTCTAGCAGCAGATGTGTCAACAGATATTACTTCAACAGTTTGGCTTCTTTTGTTTGTCGAGGAATTTCTGAAAATTCTGAAGTAACTGAAGAACTTGTTGGAATGAGTTCAATGAAGGGGCAAACAACTAGAACTGATATTTTATTGATACTGATATTTATTTGTGTTCTGCACATAATTTTAATATTTACAAACTTTTTAGTATCACTACTGATGGAGTTCTAGCCATGATTGAAATTCAGAATGGCATGGTGAGTCTACTGAGAAACCATTTGGAAAAGAGACGAAAAGATTTGCTTGGGTATCATTGTATCATACGCCAAGAACAGTTATTTGCGAAAGAACTAGGATTTGACTACATAATGAAAGTAGTGAGCGATACAATCAATTTTATTTGCTCACAAACCACAGGCAATTTAAAGAAATCCTACAACACACGGATGTAACAAATAGTAATCTCATATATTACTTTGAAGTACAATGGTTGAGCCGTGGAGAGGCTTTCAAAAGATTTTGTGATTTGATTGATGAAATAATACCATTCCTTGAAGAAAATGGCAAGCAAACTAGGATTTTAAAGGAACCATCTTTCAAATATGACTTAGCATTTTTAGTTGATTTGACAGCCCATCTGAATGACCTAAACAAAAAATTGATGGGAAAAAACAAATTCATCAGTCACCTGGCCAATGAATTATCTGCTTTTAAGCTAAAACTCCAGCTGTTCTCAAAGCAGCTTGGCAGTCAAAAATTTGTCAGTTTTCCTTACCTGAAGAAATTCAAAGAAAATTTTTTCTGATAAACTGGATTATTCAAATCAAATAAAGAGGCTGCTTATTTCTTTTGAAAAGTGATTTGCAGATTTTGAATTGCATAAGTTTAGATTTAAACTGTTCGACGATCTATTTTCTGTTGTAGTCGAAGAAGCTCCAGAACATGTTCAAACAGAACTTATCGATTTACAAGCTTCTGACTTATGCAAATCCAGGTTCCGTGACTTAAATATTCTGGACTTTTATAGAACTCTACCTGCCGAATTTTTGCACTTAAAAAATAATGCAAGCTAATGTGCTACCATGTTTGGGAGTACTTATATATGTGAACAAACATTTTCTCTTATGAATATAAACAAGTCAAAATTAAGAAATAAACTGACAGATCAATACTTGCAATCTGTCTTAAGAATATCAACAACTAACTTTGAACCAAATATAACAAAAATTGTTGATAAAATTCAGTCTCGACCATCACACTAATGTATTTAACTACGGCTAACTTTTATACATTTTATTAAAATATTTGTATACGAGTATTAGATTATCATGCACAAGTATAAACTGTATTTTGTTTTCAAGCTGAACTGGATGTTTTGGCCCCACTAGCACATGCAAGAGAAAAGGGAAACCCCATCCCCCCTTTGCTTACATACATAACATAATGGTCTACAAATCAATTTAAATTTGATATGGTACATGTCTGAATTGCAAATTAAGCGACTTACTGTATTGAACACCCCCAAATTTTTTTTTCCATATTCTATTGGCCCTCGGCAACCAAGTCATTTCTGTTAGTGGCCCTTCTGCTATAAAGGTTATGCATCCCTACTCTACTTCATATATATTTTAGACCAATTGCAATTTAAATCATTAGTATTAGGTTTTTTAAATGATTTGTAGTTTGCCTTAATCTGCCAATTCACTTTCATTTCTGAAAAGCACATTAGTATGTCATAAAATTATACACATGTAATTCATATTTTTCATTTTTAAAACTATAGTTCTGTAATTATGTTCAATACATCTTTTTAAACTATATACCAGGTGTTTACAGATTTTTAGAAGGATTTTATTATTAAGAATTTTAAAAATGTAAATGTTTTTGAATAAAATTTTCTGGCAACAGCTTATTATATAAAATGAAAAATATTGTGTGCTATTTTTAAATATATATATATATATTTTTTCCCAAAATGTTGCATCTAAACAAGCTGAAGATCGAACAATAAGTTCGAGAGCCACCAAAGAGAAATATTCATGTCCTATAATACAAAAATGTTATGCAATGCATGCTTTTAAAATTTCTCAGTGCAATCTCAAATAAGCAACATAACTGATCAGAAAGGGAAAAGCTATCAATTATTACTTCTACATGAGAAAAAGACTCTAAATGAATGCCCCAAAAAGGTACAAATTATTTCTAAAGTTAAATCTTCGGTACAGAAAAAAAATCCACTGATGCAGAAATCAGTTGCAGAGTCTTTAAATACATCTGCAGCAACAATAAATAAAATAATAAACCAATATTTATGACTTCAGAAAAGCTAAAAACATAATATTCTTATTGGAGCATGTGGCTCTATGCAGAAAATTTTGTAGAACCCTGTATGAAAACCATTTAGCAGGAGATAAGTGAAAATCCATTGTGACCCTAACATAAAACAAAGTATGGATTCACCTAAATGACAACAATTTGTTATCAAAAACGAAGAGAAAAAATGTACAAACCTGCTCTGTCAATGCAAAGAAAGTTTTAGTAAGGAGTTTATGAGTGTCACAGGTTTTTCTTACAATCAGTGCAGGATTTACATATAAGCTACACAAACCATAGCTTAGGGCTCCACAAAAATGGATTCACCTAAATGACAACAATTTGTTATCAAAAACGAAGAGAAAAAATGTACAAACCTGCTCTGTCAATGCAAAGAAAGTTTTAGTAAGGAGTTTATGAGTGTCACAGGTTTTTCTTACAATCAGTGCAGGATTTACATATAAGCTACACAAACCATAGCTTAGGGCTCCACAAAAATGGATTCACCTAAATTACAACAATTTGTTATCAAAAACGAAGAGAAAAAATGTACAAACCTGCTCTGTCAATGCAAAGAAAGTTTTAGTAAGGAGTTTATGAGTGTCACAGGTTTTTCTTACAATCAGTGCAGGATTTACATATAAGCTACACAAACCATAGCTTAGGGCTCCACAAAAAGATGCTCTAGGTATCTGAAAATCATATTTGGAACTGACATATAATATCTGAACTTATAAAAAGCCCATATCTCAAATAGCTTAGGGCCTTATCGAGTCTAAATACAGCCCTGCTTACAATTGGAAATTAAAAATAAGAAGAGGGAGAAAAAATGTTAAAATCAGCTCACTGTACTGTCAAGAGAGTTTTACGTCCAATATTTACAGAAGAAATTCTATTTCTTTATCCTAGTGACTTTCAAAGCATGAAATCACCAAGACAAAACAGGAAGTCATATTTTGAAAAATGCCACTGCATTCCTTGAAAAAAATGAAGACCGTAATAGATACTGTATATATACTTTTTCAATATATTCCTACGAAGACCTCTGTCTTCATCTGTGGACTGTTGTGTCTTTGGTCTCATGTGCTCTTTCTAAGTGTAAACCATCACTATTGATGGACTCTGGAAAGTAGTGGAAGAATAGAAATCAATAGTCCTGGAAATTTAACAAAAAGCCTATCTATCATGGAAATCACAATACAGAGTCTAGAAAAAGCTCTCAGAATAAACATTTAAAAAATAACTTTTACATTATAAACATTAAACAAGAAACCCTGCAATAGTTCTAAAAATACGTAAACACCCTCTATAATTCTGTAATTATGTTTAAGTACACTTTGCTATCAGATATTTAAATTAATTACATACTCAAATAAATTTAAACTTACATCATCACAAGACATATTGAAGTCAGCCAAAACTTGACGCACCCTTGATACAATACTAACAAGTATAGGAAATGAAAATATTTGACATAATCAGAAAAGTATCATATCATATATAATTTGAAAATGTATAAAGTATATCTCAAAACTGTTTCATTTCAATAATGTTAAAAGATATATTCTAGCAATGTATATAATAAAATTACAAAAACACATTTTTAAAGTTTTTATTTTTTTAATTAAACTTAAGAGATAAATTAATATTTAATTAATCATTAAACATAGAGAATATGCAACACAAATATGTCATGAATTGATTGTTTGATTGCCAATTCAATAGTGAATGAAAGCAGAATGAAGAAATATTCATAGTTCATAATTCACATTATAATCAGCTTTAATGTGGGCTGCACATATGGCATTCAGTTACTGATAAAATCCAAATTATAAAAATTAGCAAGTCTATTAACACACTCAAAAAACTTTATTGTAAGTATGATCAAGTGATTTTGTGTTCAGCATTTAAAATTATTTTTTTAGTATGGAAACAGATAAACAATGGAAATAATAAAACAATTTACATGATGTTTTTAAAAGTTCCCTTTCATATTGCAGGCAGTAATGATAATAAGCACAAAAATTGTCCTACTACTGCAAAAATCATACTAATGAATAAAAATATATACTCAATTAATAATTTTAAAAATGGTCAATTGTAGAAGAAAACTTTTTACAAATGAAATGAAATTTGACAGTCATCCTTTCCTAAATTCATACTTCTGAAATTATGATAAAAACTAAGTTTTGCCCCAACAAATGTAATTCAAAAGACTAAAATAAAGAATATTTTCTTGCTACAGTTTATCCAATTTAATAAGCAATTTTAAGTTAATAGTGTATAACCAGATGGATGAAAAAATGCTAAAATTATTGAACTCTTTATGGAATAGATGGGCTATCTGGATGTTTCTGTTTTCCCTCATATTATGCAAATATCAGCCAATTCCTCTCATTAAGTTCTTTTCATTCATAAGGCAGATAGCCTTTCAGCACATTACAGCAAAATATAACTAATAAATAAAAAAAAATAAAAGAAGGATTTTTCATTCTTAATAAATAAAAAAAGTATATTAATAAACAGTTCAGATCATTTACATATGCATATATCCAAGGCTTTAGGAAAGAAATTCTCTAATTACTAATTTACTTTAAGAATTTCATTTACAACAAGAGTACAGTTCCATAAATAAAAAACAGTGACATAAGGGGAAAATCATTATATACAGTTCCTTCTAATAGTAGAAAGCATTTTTTATATTCTTCTCTTCGGGCTTATGAAGTTTACTAGTTTTAAATACCAAAAATCCATTGCATACTCATTTGTGAGAAAACAAACTGATTCAGAAATTAAAGTCAATCAAATAATTCTTTGCTTTGTAAGTTGTAAAACAAGCATAATTCTATGAAATTACTGTAACTAAAAATGTTAATACATAAGAAATCTTTATGGAAATAAAGCAACATACCTAGCAAAGTCAATTCAGGGCTGAAATACACACATTTAGTGGTTGTGTTGAGTCTCCGTGAAGTGTTTAATATGAGATTACTATCATTACAAAATTTATATTACAGCACTACATTACAATTTAAAAAAGCATGCATTACATAAAGCTAGGTGAAGATAAAATCACGATGCTCTTGTAATGGGGGGTTGCACATGAGAAATATCCGCAGATGACATTAATCACTTTAACTGCTTTTCTGGGACTTGGCCGCTTCTCTCATCCAAATGTCTGACAGATGGCACCATCTCTTGGGTTACACCACAGTACTATGCCTTAAGTATCATTGGAAATTATTATTGATTGATATTGGTACATTTTAAATATTTTGGATTAAATCTAACTATTCTTCCAGATCTGGTAGTTTTAGGCTGTTCTTTAGAAGGTTTTAAAAGTCTTTTTCATGGGGAAATGTCAGAAAAGTCGGCTTAAGATTATCTATTTCAATCACAGACTGTTTGCCACTGCACAGAATGGTGAAATGTTTAGGCATGCATTTCGTAAATCTGAATGGGCCAAAGGTGTCAAGGTTGGCCTAATCCACACAAATATGTGAGAAAGTATGCCAAATCTTGAAATCCACTGCGAGATGAATGGCTAAGCTACGATTTCAACAGAGATATTTTCGATAGGAATTGCTTCACGCCATCGTGTGAAATGGCAGATACAGGTAAGAAGGTAAGTATAACCACATAAAGTATCATTTAAATTTTTAGCCACTTATTAGGTTAATTTCCTTTTCTATAAGGCTCATCTTCATTTCCCTGACAGAATGTAAATTTCCAGCATGAGTGATATTCAAACTGGATACACAGTATTTAAGGGAAGGTTTTGAAAGGTGAAATTAGAACGTATTCTGCCTCCTTGAAAGCCACATTACTAAATTTCATTCTCTAGCAATCAAAGTTAGCAACTGCAGTGTTGAGTTATTCTTGTCAATAGGCCTGCTTATGCAGACTTTGGTCAGAACCAGCTTGCATGTTAGTTTAACTCTGAAGTGAAACTATACTTAAATTTCATTAGTTTTAGTTTATCCATTATCTTTGAGTTAAAGCCAAGGCTATTGGCTTCAGTAAACAAGAGTTGGTACTATGTGTTAAACTTTCTTTGGATTAATAAAGGGTCCTTTACATCCATTACTCCCTGTCTCTCTGGTACTTATAAGACACAGTGAAAACTAGCTAGCTGTCTTTTAGAGTTCTGGTTTAATTGTATGCTACTTAAGAAGGCCAGATCTTATAACCATGTGAAGGAAGTAATGGGCCTACAAGGTCTATTTGTATAAGGCAAAACATCTTGACGGAAGGTTACACTGTTGAATGGGACTCAAGTGTGATGAGAGATTTTACAGTGTTGAGATCTAATACATGAATGAGTCCATTCCATGATATCTTGGTTCACTGCTGGCCATACAAATTTGTCTGCAATCAACTTTTTTATGGCACGGATTCCAGGAAGTGCCAAAATATGTTAAGCATTGAACACTATATGTCTAAAAGATGGATGACAAGAATATAAGGACATATTTTATTGTTGCATGTGTCACAGTAAATTTCAAGTGTTGGATCAATGTGAAGTAGTTGTAACTCAAGGGAAATTTGTGGATTTGATATCTCTTGAGTTCATCAGCACGCAAGTGGGCTTTTGCGATTTTAGGGAAATTTGGAGCAGTGAGCTGGGTGTTGTTTATTTTAGATAAAGTGTCAGCGACACAATTATCAGTGCCACAGACATGATTGTACTGAACTGAGAAAGAAATCTAGTTGTCAAGGCCGACAAGGCGAGCATGAGTCTGTTTTTTTTCATTAAATGCTATGATTAAAGATCAATCATCAGTGGAAAAAGATGAAATCATCACCTTTCAAATTACGTCTGAAGTATTTAACAGCACAATACACAGTAACTATGTCATATGTGCTGTACTTTCTTTCTGCAGTAGTAAATTTCCTTGAGAAGGATGCCATTGATGGCCTGAAGCACAGCTACAACTGTGTCGGATGCATCTACAATAACGAAAGCTGATAATTGGGTGAGCGATAAGAAATTGTGACTGCATTTGCCAAAATGTTTCTGCCCTACACGATTCCTGCAGATTCAGTCCATGGGAGAGCTCATTTACCATTTTTTCTGCTATCCTTCAGAAACTTATGAAGAGGAGGCCTGTGTTTTTACAGCATTTAGAAGAAAGCTTTCCACACTGTTAGCAAATGCCTCACTTCAGAGATGGTTGTCTTTTGAGGCAGGTCATCAATAGCTTTGACTTTCTCAGGCAGAAGTTTTACCCCATCCACAGTGATATAACATCCAAGAAAAGAAACTGAGGACTGTACACATTTGAATTGATTTAATTTTAAGCCGTGTTTTTTAAAGTAGATAAAAATTCGGCACAGATGTTGTAAACGTTCTGCTGCATTAGTTACAGGGTTCGTACACCTTTCTGCACACAAAAATTAAGTACTTTCAAGGACTTTTAAGGATCATTAATGAAAAAAATTAAGGACCTATGAGCAAATGGGAACTGAGTAGGATGCATTATTATTAAACATAACTTAATTAACATATTTATTAATATGTTTGAGAATAAAATTAATTTTATGAAATTTATCAAGTAGCATTAAATATTTTACATTTATAATAACTGGACATATTTGAAAGAAGATAGGTGACATTTTAGTATACGTTTTACTAACAGTTACCATTACGCTTTTTTTTTTTTTTTTTTTAATGTCTCATTTTGTCACATACTTGCTCATTCTAGAGGTTTAGTAAATAGCAAGTAGATTTTTATGTCAAGCAGCATAGGTTCAAAATGAGCATTAAAATCATAATCAGCAAGATTCATAACAAAAGACTGGCTGTTGTCACCACTCCTGCTTGCCTATAGAGAAACCTGCTGATCAGAACAAACCTTGAAAGGCCTGATGTAGGCACAAGTTAAGCAAGTTTTTGAAAGTTAGCTGACCTCTGTCTGATGCACTTAGTGTCGTAGCTTCATGTACAGTTCCAGGGTTAAGTTAGTATAGAGTCCACAGTTAAGGTATATTAACTCAGTTAATATAAAAGGTCAAGCCACTAAAGCATTAGTGGTGATAAGTGGTTTTGCATTAAGTCTCACTAGATGAAAAGAATAAGTTTCACATGAATTTTTATATTTTTGTGTTTTACCTTGTGACCATGGTAAAGCTTAACACATCGAGCCCGACGGCGAATTTGCTGTCCTTTCCATTCAGCCGGCAGCAAGTGATCAAGCAAGCGACAGCAAGCAATATTGCCAACTTAAATTATTCATAAATTATACAGAAAGGAAGGTGATGCACATAATGTCCAAAAGTATTGTTCGAAATGTTATGATGACAATTCAAAACTATTTGGATGCAAGATAGCCAAAAATGTTACCAAAATAGTTGTTTCGTATTGTGTAACGCTAAGCCGTAATTTTGTTTAGAATGTTTCATTAAATTTCATTAAAACTACATTTAATCACATTTCATTTAAGACTATACTTATTTTTTAACTTTAATACTGTCGGTCCCATGAACCGACACCAGCCAAACAAAAATTCCAGTGCCGGTCCCCAGGGACCCACGCCGGGCTCAGCGTGTTATAAAAGGCAATAACGCTTTATATAGAGTGATAATTTTTAAGGAATGCATTTAGTTATAATTAAATTAGGTATTAGATAATCTAGTCATTATACATTTACATGGCCACTATTAAATTAAATTTATTTTTTAATAATATTTTAAAAAACCCTATTACTCTCACAATCTCGTAAATTTCACAGTTTAAATACATGCAATTTAGACATTGATTTTTAAACAATATTAGGATAATTACACATTAAAAGCTACAAAACATAAAAATCAACAAAATAATTATGCGTCTTTTTAATTTGAAGGCCTGCCCAGACATTTTGGCTAATTTATATCGATTTCCTCCTCCTTAAACATGTTTTCTAACAATTAGAAATTTGTCTCAATATGCAAAACAATGTTCTCATTAGTTTTTGAGTGTTTTATCTCCTAAATGGGAACCTCTTCACAATGTACTCTCTATGAGGGTTTACTTGATCTGGTAAAAGTTAAATAGTCCGACTCCCTCCCCCCTCCCCAACAGACGTGAAGCAAATTATCACTATGTCTGAAAGTAACTATAAATCAGATAATAAATTTAAGTAAAGGTTTAAATAAGCTTCTTATTCAAAAAGAACTTGGAACATATAGGCATGTTCCAAGTTCTTATGCTAACAAAATAAAATACAGTTTGTGGTGATATAATTAAACAAGAAGAGTGAAATTCAAACTAAAAATATGGACTAGTGGTAAAAAACTATACAATTTAAATTCAATTTAATCTGGTTCAGTAACTCTATTGTCATAATAAACTCAAATGTCAGCAGCTGTAATGGAAAGACTAATAATTACAACTCATCAGAGCTAGACAGGAACTAATGCAGGAAGCAAGTGAAGTGCAGAAACACTCGTCTTACACTCGAAAAAACTCAGTTTAAAAACTGTCTAAGTGATTTGCATTCTGATGAGGATATAGAATATGGGAAATTATAGTAAAGGCTGAATACTGTTATAAGCAACTGGGTAATTACATAATATACTGTACATAACTTTGAAGAATAATTTTCCTTTCTCTTTCATGTATTCAGTTTTTCTTTAACACATTTTATGTCCATTTGAGAATTTTTGGATTTTAATTAAAGACTTCTGTTATTCTAAAAAAAAAAAAAAAAAAAACTAAATGCATTTAGAAAAAGCTGTTAATTTTACTTCTTTAGTAATATGAAACATTCAGAAGAAATGTGAAATACATATATGGTAAGGGTCTAGTTACAGAGCTGGTGTGTCAGAATTTTTAGAATTAAGTGATACACTGAGCAAAAAAAACCTAGAAATGGCAAAACGTTTAGAATTTAGAGCAGGCATTAAAAGCAGAATTTAGAAAGGCACAAGGCATCAGAATTTAGGATCCATGGAGACTGCATCAGGTGGCAAAATGCCTAGCGCCAGCTCTGTGTATGATGCATTAAGACATATTAGATGAATTTTTTGAATTGTCAGTTTTCAATTTGTTCTTTATTAATAAAAAATTCCTTTCTATAATGCCTGTCCATATGATAAGATCAGAAGTACTTTTGATATTTTCCATGTTTGTATCTAGTAAAAAGTAGAGAAAATAAAAATGTTAAGAAAGCGATTCTAGAATCAGAAGTAAAACATTAAACTATTATGTTTTTATTGTTCTTCCAGATGTTCTCCAAAATGTAAGAAACTGCGTGTTACTACCATGTACACATTTTTCATTTTATCACATTTTTCTAGAATCTTTTAGAATTGTGGGTCTATAAATTTGCCTTGAAATCTTTCTCAACTTTCCAAGCTTCAATGTCTAAAATCCTAAAGAAAAATTACCCCTACCAGTTCTGCAACAGCAAAAATCCATACATGTTTTTAGAAAAAATTCGGAGGGAAAAAAGTGTGAAATTAATTTTATAGAGAAAACTCATGCATATTCTGAGAATTCTGAAAAATGGGAAAAATTCTTGCCATGAAAAAATTAAAAATACATTTTTAATTAATTACAATGCTATTTTGCTTTTGCTAAAAACTATTTTGTAAACTGTGCTTTATAGCATTATTCCTTGCTTATTTTTCAGATTCAATAAATTGTATAATATGTGGCCAAAATGGAACTTTATAATACGACAGTGAAAAATAAAAATGCTTTATTTAGTGTTATTTTTTAAATATAATTCCAATATATTACCATTATTTTAATGAAATTTATCAATGTTAGAATGTTCTAAAAAATCGTCAAAAAATTCCCAAATCTCGGAATTAAAAACTTTTCTACAGAAACCAATCTTAAAATCGCCAAAATGTTGATAATCGCCAAGTTTAGAACCATTTAATAAAAGAATTCACATCCCCAAAAGCGGAAAGTTGTTTGAGAGCTCTTCATTACAAAAAAATGAAATAATTTTTAAATGCTTATGTTTCACTTCTTGCTCAGAAACTCGAGTATCCCACCCTTATTTATATTACAAATAGGAACAAATTAGAACTCATGAACCCATTCAAAAAATTGCCCTATTTGTCAGTGAATTGCCAAAAATATTCCTGCAAAATACTAATTCACACCCAAAATGGCAGTCGTAAAAACAGACAGAAATTTCAGATGATTAAAATTAAGGACCTTCTGGCGATTTTGGCCAAAATTAAGGAAATTTAAGGATCAAAAATCGATTCCAAAAAACTTAAGGACTTTTAAGGGCTCTTAAGGACCGTATGAACCTTGAGTTAGGTCTTAATCAGAGGCAACAAGAATAATCTGTATGTTATTAGGAAGGTGTGACAACCATAGCAATTTCAGTAAGTCATTGCTGAAATGGTTTCCTGCCAGATCATGCATCTGGGTGAGCAAGTATGAAGATTGCTGATCACCAAGTTCAAGGTCATTGTAGTCAAGTATGCATTTTTCAAAATTCACTTTTTGAATGTATTTCTGCAAGTTACTCTTTTAATTTCAATTATTTGTCCCCATCAGGAGGTTTAAAGATCAAGTCGTGCATTGAATTCAAAATATCAAACCATCGCTGCAACTCCATGGTTGAATTTTGGGGAGTCTTCACTAATGCGAGCAATAGAAAACTGTGCTTCATCTGGACAAACCATAATGATGGAATATTCTTCCAAAATGGCAGTGGCTTTACCACAATGTGCATTATCTGTGGTTCTGGTTGCATCCCATCAAGCATATTTATAGAAAATTTATAATAACCACTTGCCTGCACAAATATTCTAGCATGAGGATATACATTAATACCATAAAGAAGGAAACGAATAATATTTTGTCAGCAATTATAAACGTAAATACTATTTTGTCAAGGTTCATTGCATGATTTGAAGTACACTATATCACTTTTTATTGCACCCCCCCCACACAAAAAAAAAGGTTGTGTTGAGTCTCCATGAAGTGATTAAAAGGAGATTGCTAACATAACAAAAATTATATTACAGCAATACATTACATAAAGTTAAGTAAATACAAAACTATGCTCTTGTAATAGTGAAGTTTGCATGCGAGAAATACCCACAGATGACATTGATTACTTCACCGCTGTAAGATCTGATCTTCTAGGCTATCAAATAATGTGACTAGATCTACTTGGATGTTAAACCTTTGTGAATTCTCACACAGGCATGAAGATGAACACAACAGGTAAAGGGTGTTAAAAGACCCTTTATTTATCAAAACTGAATAACAGATAGCACGAACTTACGTTTTTATACAAAACCACTGTTCACTTGCAGTCAGAACTTAAACAGTAACAATAAATGTAAAAAGTAAGGAGTTGGTGCTAGACTACACAGTTCAATTAAACTTAACAAGCTGGCTCAGAAACCTACACCGGTGACATACTAACTAGACAGCCTGAAAGCATAACCGCTAACAAGATTAACAGTTGGAGAACAAAATAACAAACTTGTGCTTCACTAGTGTAATCACGCTCTTTTTAACCTTTTTGTTTCAACCATTTAAATGCTCTCGTTCACCAACTTAATTTGCATCCTGGCGAGGAAGAATAAAAGAATTCAGAAAAGATTAAAAAATTAAAATAACTGTTAGTACAACTAAGCAGAACTCTATACCGCTTGAACTGCCTTTCTTGAACTTGGCCACTTCTCTCACCCAGCCATCTCTCAAACAGGTGGCACCATCTCTTTGGTGGAACCAAAGCTAAATGTGAGAACACCACCATATTCAAGCCTTACTCTGCCTCCACACTCACTGCCTAAACATACTACTGGGTCTCAACTTTCGTTTTGTGTTACAAAGGGCAAATTTTATGAATGTATTTATTCTTTTGGGAAGGTCTTTTCCCCCCCTTTTTTTTTAAATTTAAAAATTGTATCTCCCCCCCTACAGATTAACATTTCCTACACTTCAAATAATTGCTCAAGACATTATAGTTAATTTCATACTTAAAAAAAGGATACATAGAAGGAGCAACAACTCTACGATGAATACCCATCAGGAATAATATAATTAGAACTGTGCTACTTATTGTGAAGAAAAGATGGTTCATTAAAGACTGGAGAAAACCCACCTAGAACAAAAATAGAAACTTACATTAATAAATTAAAAGCCAAAAAAACACTAAATATTATACATTAAATTATTTGGTACTATCTAATTATCTACATCCTGGAAAAGCATTCACAAGGCAATAAGCTATGTCAACAGGCAACCCAGGTACTCGTATGTGCTCAGCAGATGAGCATTGGTCATTAGTGTTAACTTTTGTAGTATTGAGTGATTTTTTTTTTCCTTGTAAGAAATCATAATAGGATTGTGGATCTTTTCCAGAAATACAGCATTTAACAGTATAGAATGCAAAAATTCACATGTCATGAAGTTGTACTTTATTAAGAAACTTGAAATAACACTATGTGGAATTCTCTGATGTTTTTCTAAGCCCCTCCAAAAAAAAAAAAAAAAAAAAAAAAAAAAGAGAGAGGGGGGGGGAAATAATAATAGCATGTGCAATGCCAAATTTATGCAAATCTTTTTTTTTTTTTTTTTTTTGTGTGTGTGTGTGTTTACTTATTTATTTTAATAAAACCAAATCATTGAGTATAAAGAAAGAATGATAGTGTGCAAAATAACATGATGCCGAGTTTCTGCAAATTCTCTGATGCTTTTTTAAGCCAAAACAGATCATCTTGTACTTGAGAAAAGCAGCAAATAACAAATATATTTTTTACTAGATGTTGCTTGTGTTTTTAATTTATTTGTTGCTCTATTACATTATTCTTAGTGTGCCACTATTTTTTAAAAGGCTGTTGTCTTTCACAGCTTACCAAAAATATAAGTCGCCATCAAATGGCAACAGGAGAGAGGTGCTGATAATTAGAAAATACCAATTTTTTTTTTACCTCAGTGAAGCTGCTGTGATAATTCGTACAATAATTTAAAAATTAAAAAAGTATTCTTTAATATTATTACACATTAGATTATAAAATCCTTCATGGGATACAGCAAACAACTGCAAAAAATTTCAGCCCTAGACAGATGGTACTAAATTCAGCTTATCTTTTTATTCACAGATATTACATACAACTCTAGATAATCTTCTGATGCAAAAATAAAATGAATATTTTTAGAGAACACCATGAATTAAATGTGGAAACCAAGGGCTATCAGATCAAAATCGCATATAAAAGACATTTAAAACTAAATCTAGATAATGAAAAATCAATAACATGAAACTCTCAATGTTGTCATACAATTCTTGAATGGTGATACCCCGATGTTACTCACAGGTGGAAACCAACAAAAAGTCAGGACCAAACTTTGCTTATAGATATATATGAATTTAAATTAAAAAGAGCCAAGGCCTAAAAAAAAACACTTGTTCAGAAAAATAATTATGTGGTAAAGAATGTAATTTTCATATATATTGATGCAAAATGGTAATAAAATACAGAAGGTATTTACACTTTTTTAGAATATTTTCAAGGCCATTTAATTAATTATTGTAAGGATTATTTTTTTAAATGCTCAATCTGATAGCTTTTTTTTTTTTTTTTTTTTTTCCTGCACTGTGATTTCCATCATAGGACTTTTCATAAAATTTCCTGAGGCACTGATTTTAATTCTTCCACTACTTTCTAGAGTCCATCAATAATGATCCATTTGCACTTAGAAAGAGCTCTTTTCAAGAGACCAAAACCACAAGTCCACAGATGAAACATCAAGGGCCTTCACAGGGATATGCTGAAAACATATACAGTCAAAAGTCGTTAATCCGTACTCGTCGGACTTCGGCGATTCCGGATTATAGATCATCAGATTAAATCTGGTAAGATGGCATGCAGAAATTACAAAATTAAAAATATGAAACCGTAATTTATGAAATAAAGAACAATTATGATCTAAAGGGTATCAAAATTTACAAAAAGAAAAAGCTTAATATTTATTTGTTTACTTTATTAAACATTTCTTTCAATGTAAGTTGCTTCTTTTCATGTGATAATATTAATGTGATAATTCTTTAATTCTATTAAACAGACATAATTTCTTGTTTAATTACAAAGTTCCGCTGTTCAAGTCCTGTAACTGCTGTGTTGAGAATACCGACCATTTGTCAATTGAAATTTTTTCATTTTCAATAACCTCTGGGTCACTTTCTTCACTATCGGAAGCGAATTATAATGACGAGGAACTTGATTTAAATCATATCAAAGACAGAGTACATCGAGATGAAATACTACACTTAGTAAGGAATTATAAGCCAAATAAAATAAAAACATCTGCCCTGAAGATAAGGATAGTGCTGACAGATCAACTTCTAATTCATTGCGCGCCGCGGCGTGAAATTGATAAACAGATTTCGGATTTCGAAACATACACTCATGTCCAAAATTATGTTTACATGCATAAATTCACGGATTTCTCAGAGACTATGACTTATAATTTAATGAATTTTCGTGGAATCGTACATAACATGATGACACATAAATGCAAAAGAAAAAATTGAAGATCACCTCATATGATATAAAATTGTAGCATGAAACAATAAAAATGGTAATAAAGTGTGACAAAGAGAGTTCAGAAAAAAAGGAATGATTCAGAAAAAGAATTAAGTCTTACGAATTTAATATGGAATATGATCTCCCCCGACTTGTACACACACACATATCACAACGTGTTTTAAGGCTGGAAATAACGTTGTTAACCACAGTTTGGGGAATTAATCTCCACTCTTCCAGCAATGCCGTCTTCAGAGCATTTACATCTCTAGGAGGAGGATGTATACGTGCAATTGCTCTTCCAAGGTAGTCCCATAAGTTCTCTATCGGGTTAAGGTCAGGAGAGTTTGGTGGCCAAGGTATTCGCTTAATGTCTTCACTTTCAAGGAATTCATCAACGAGGTTTGCTCGATGGGGATGGGCATTATCATCCATAAATAAAAAGTCAGGTCCATATGCACCCCTGAAAAGTCTTACATAAGGATCTAAGACCTCATCTCGATATATCTGGCCTGTCACAGATCCGCTGCTGAACACGTGTAGGGGCGTACGTCCATCGATCATTATTCCACCCCATACCATCACACCTCCACTACCGAAACGGTCACGTTCCACAATGTTCGAGGGATCATTTCGTGTTCCTGACTCCCTCCAGATGTAAACACATTTAGAATCACCAGTTAAACTAAACCGCGACTCATCAGTAAAGAGAACATGGGACCATTGATGTTCAGTCCAGTTTTGATGTTCTTTACACCAATTAAAGCGATCCCTCTTTTTCTGTGAAGACAGTAAAACACATACCCTAGGCTTTCTGGCATAAAGGCCTTTTTCATTAAGCCTTCTGTATATTCTTTGCCGTGATGCAACAGTTCCAGTGGCGGCTGCAAGCTCTGAACTTAACTCGCGAGCAGTAGCCTTTCTGTTACGACGGGCAGTTAATGCCAGATACCGATCTTCAGAAGCAGTTGTCATTCGTTTCCGACCTTTTCCAGGGCTCCTTACAACACTTCCATCATTTTGAAACTGTTTCCATAGCTTACAGACTGTCTGTCTTGAAATATTCAGACATGTGGTTGTTTCCATGATTGACTGCCCTGCTTCTAAACGGCCGATAATTCGCCACTTTACAGATTCTTCCAAATGATACTTCGAAGCCATAACAAACCGCTTTGAGTCCCTACACACTGAAATCAAATGCTATGTTGCAGAAATTACCTCAAATATTCAGTTTGCGCAAAGTGCTTGATTCACCCTTGGATGACGTAACGCCTAGATTTGCATATCACAAACCGTTTGATTACTTTTGATTGAATAATGCTAATTAGGCTTGGTTTTCACACATTCCCTGCAAATACGGATCACATTGATTCGATATTTCATTGAATATCATCATTTTTGCATATGTAAAGATAATTTTGGACATGAGTGTACTTTCGCTTTGTAAATCCTTTACATATTAGGAAATATATATCTGATATTCTATTTGACATAATCGAAAGTTCAAGCTTACTTTTATAAAATTGCTCTAACAGTCTGCAAAAAATAATAAGCCGGATCCAATTCGAAGATTAAGAACAACGCAATCTGCAACATTAACTGAATCAGTTAATTTTAGCTTAGCTTATACCGTAGGCTACACATTAAACGCGCATGCGCACATATATATTCGCAGCCGTAAAGGTCTTACGCGCACTCGTAACGCCTGTGCGCAAGCGTAAACGCGACGCATGCGCAGAAAGTTTGTAGCTTTGAGGTCCGGATTATGGGTGTCCGAATTAACGACTTTTGACTGTACATGCAATACCTGTATGTCTTTATTTTTCAAGGAATGCATTTGGTACTCTTCTAAGTATGACTTGTTGCTTTCTCTTGATCAAGCTTCACTCTCTGAAAGTCACTGGGATAAAGAAATGTAATTTCTACTACAAACGGTTGTAAAACTTTCTCTCGACAGTATGCTGAGTATTTTTTAATATTTTTTCTACTCTTCTTATTTTTAATTTCCCAATGTAAGAGAATCCCATGACAATAATAAACCCCTTACTGAAACTTTCTTTGTATTGATGGAACCAGGGTTGTACAATTTATTTTTTCTTTTCATTTTCGATAATAAATAGAACTTTTTTTTCTTCTTGTTGTTGCGATCATTTAAGTAATCTCATGCTTCATCAAGAGTCACAACGTACTTACATTTATCTCCTACTAAATGGTTTTGAAACAGGGTTCTATAAATTGCTCTGCATTCAGCCCCATGCCCTGGCAAAAGATGATGAATATTTTATTTTTTTAGGTTTTCCAAGTTATAAATAATAGTTTATAATTTCACTTATCAGTGCTACAGATGTTGCAATTTATTTCTGCATTGGCAGATTTTTCTCTAGTTAACAATGATTAAACTTTCAAAACATTAGAAACAATACATACCTATTTTGTGGTACACTGGTTATCATAAATTAAGGAAAAATCACAAAAGTAGCGATAACTCACTCAAAAATAAGCCAAACCGTGTAAAATTTTAATACGTTGCCAAGTAAGAGTAGCTGAGTAAAACTCCAATATGCAAATTAGTGGC